TCATTTATCAGTGTTTTTGTCTTGGCGCCATTGTTTTTTTATGCTATAACCGAAACAACTCGATCACGTGATCCCCAAAGTCGCCTGATTGACTCCGAAAATGACCGATAGTCGGAGATAAACGTTCATTTGCGTAAATCGGCTTATTTTTTAATGCGACGAAATAAACAGTCAAAATAAACATTCGTCATTGCGGCAACTATCATAGTTCAAAGGAAACGAAGTGGTTGTTCTTCCTGGGGTTTATAGTTCCATGTTTAGATATAGACTTTTTTTTTTTTAATATTTTTTGTGCTAGGCGACAGTTTTGGACATTGAATGTCACTGTTGTCTTTCCTGACTTTTTTTTGTATGTGCAAATTGCAAGTGCTAGTGCTGATACATAATGCATTTTTGCCACAGAAGTCATATTCATATTTGGGACTACATGAAAGGGATATGCGGCCATCTTCCTATCAAATGGCAATTTAATGCGCTATCCTGGCGTCAACCAGGCTCGATCGAACACAAGCACCTGCGGACCTTAACCAAGGTTCCCCAAAAATCGCATTCGTTAGTGAATGAATCTCGACCAGTGGAATTGGCCTTCCCATTGGGTTGACCCTTTTGATGTTCAGCTTGAGGTAGGATTTGAACTTGGTTCTACCGATCATGAGTCTGATTCAGACTAGTTTAGTGGCGTACACATGTTTTTGTTTTCGAAAATTCATTAACAAAGATATTTTTGTATTTTTATATTTTATATTTTTAGCGTTCATTTGCATCAAGCCAAAAATAAATTATCCCCATAAATTATCTCCAAGTATTTTTGTAATCTAATCATCAAATGCCACTAAGCGTACAAATTGTATGCCCTACTGTTTACAATGCGTAGGTAAATAAAATTAATATTTTGGTAGATTCTGTACATGCATTTATGACTTGTACTGGAATATTCAAACGTTAAAAATTAAATTTCAATCCCAAGAGACAGTGTATCAAAGAAAAGAACCAATAATTTTCACAAATTATTAAAACTTACCGGCGTTCGCAAACTCATTTTTGTTTTCTCCAGTTCTCTAACAGACGCCTTTAACTTGGCTTTTTCTTCTCTCTGTTCTGCTTTAAGTTTACACTCTTCCATGGTGGTATTATGGTACAGCGGACAACCTGATATAGTTCGGTGGGTTTCAAATTTGCCTGTTAGGTGCCCTGCCAGAATACATAGACACAGAAGAGATTGAACATCAATCTTCACTTATTGAACATGTGACAATACGAAGACCAAACCCTGAGTGAACTGCAAAACTCTCTATACTTAATGCATTTTCCATTCCATGTAAAAGGCCAAACAAAGGTCATAGCGTCGCAGTGATATCAAAACATTGTGTGGGATTTAACAAACACAAAAGTATTTTGGCGTATTTTAACACTCATTAAAGTGCTGCTATACACATTTGGTGATGGTCAATTTTGATGAAGTTACAGTATCTAAATGCAATATTCCCCTCTAAAAAATTATTTTACCACTGAAAAAAAAAACAAGCAGCCTATCGGCTGAGATAGCTCCGCTGTTAGCAATGCACATTTCAATTAAAGAAGTGAAGACATCATTAGAAAATGAACAATATGAATAGTATCAAAGCAATCGGACTTACAGTTTTTAACAAGAAGTCGAAAATATCACTTTTTACCAAAAATTACAAAAATATTCACCAAAATAAATTAATTAGAGAATTGAAGATATCATCACAAAACGAACAAATCTGAGAGAGGTCCACATGTAGTACCTATATATGTAATATCAAAGCAATCGGACTTGCGGTTTTTAACAAGAAGTCAAAAATATCACTTTTTACCAAAAATGACAAAAATATTCACCAAAATTAGAGAATTGAAGATATCATCACAAAATGAACAAATCTGAGAGAGGTCCACATGTAGTACCTATATATGTAATATCAAAGCAATGGGACTTGCGGTTTTTAACAAAAAGTCAAAAATATCACTTTTTACC